CACGCTTCTCGATTGTATAGCGCAATTTTTCCTAACTTTTTTCAGAAGATTTAAGTGAGCATATATGAGAAGGAGCAGTAGTAAATGATTTTGATTAATTATCGAAAAGATTACTCATCGAATCTGTCTTTAAAATGCTCAGATTTTTGAAAGGTTCAAAAATCTCAAAAGGTTCATTAAGTGAATCGTACAGTCATTTCAATGTTTTTATTACCCCATTTTGGTGATTGTGGCCCATTCTAATCTTCAAAAGTTAATGACATCTAATCACAGCTCATCTCCCCCCCCCCCCCCAACATCCTTTTCCCCATCGGAAAAGTTTCTGCCTTATTTCCGATTCACTTCCTAACCATTGAGACAACTTGTGCTTTTTTCTCAGCCGACTTTCTTCCATTGTTCGTCTGCATTTCAGCTTCAGCGAGCCACTCAGTACTAGCCTCGAGCAGCGCTACCAGTTCCAATTTACCGCTTTTTTCTTTTTCCGTTTTCTTTTTTGACTGCAAGTGTAAGCTCAGTGTCTTTTTCAATTAGCGGCAGAGTTCTGTAAATAATAAGGCTGTCTACTCAATTTCCGGCTCATTCTAGAACATGCGCTACTTTTATGTGGATATTCACATTATTGAAGCACATGTACAGATTTTTATGTTAATCAAATAAGGTTCAGTTGAATACGAAATTGTCAACGGAGCTGCTCTTCCTACTTTTTCTCATGAGAAGCTAATTAAAATGAGCGGAATATTGAATTTCAGTCGTTAAAAGAGCTCTTTGAACCCAAAGGCTTTTTCACTTTTTTTTTGGTGACTCAAAAGCATCTTTTTACAACATTTGACCTGAGAGTGTAACATGTATACATTGCACACTTCTCTTTATCTGCGAAATTCGTAATTTTCTCAAAATTCTCATCCGTCAATGGATCAGCTTTGCGTCGAAACGTTGGTTTTTCCAAAGAAAATTCTTCCGCATACAAACCAATCTTTTGGTCCAATTTTACTATTAAATTACACAGTTTTCTCTCCTTTCTCATAATTCAAGTGTATGAAATGATCGAAGAAGTCCACCAGAAAAATATTTCAATAATTAACACCTGTACGGCAAGAGAATTCCTGAAGTTATAAATTGAAATCCAGGTCACAATAAAAGAGGATTCATGATATACACATCTTTTTGTTATTGGCTCCTTAATTTCTTTTTTTAAGTGGCTTCGCAACTTTCCTGCGCATAATAGCTTATGCTGTATAATAGCACTGCACACTACTCTGAATATGATAGCACTAATTAAAGCTGCAAGAAAGTACATCCGCAACTAATTATGCTAAAATCTGTCCTTTTGACTTCTCTAGCAAAGATCTTGCTAGGTACTCTTGCTAAATAACCAATGATCCGCAATTAACTCACAATGAATTACATCCTTTATTTAGTGTGCAAAAATCATGATCCTTGCTTTATCTCCAAATCGTCTACAAACAGCTTTGGACGGATTTTCTTTATGCTGTTGTCGAGAATTTTAGATAGCCTAATAGATTAGTGTGATGTATGAGTCAAGGGCTTATTTTAAAACCTACTCGATGAGTCTCTCACATACAAAAACAAATCTGTTATGCGCTATGAAAGTTATGCACAGGAAGCGCACAGAAATTGACTTCATTATATAAATAGAATATGGGTGACGTACTTTTTGCTAAGACAATGTTAAGCTACAGCCATAAAATGTGCGATTATAATTCAGACGTAATTGAACTTACAGTCTAAAATGTTCGGTAATGAGATAAAAATTGATTTATGCTAGAGTTATCTATTTGCAACATATTGATTTTCGATGACTTACTCAAATCAAATAATCATAAATTTGTAAGACCTTCACTGTATTTTAACACTTTTGATAGCAAAGTCAAACATTCGAAAATTTAGGTACATCGGTTGATTCTGAGAGAAATGTCTTTGATTTCAATTTATTTATAATCCAATACCGTGAATACTAGGATTTTATACACTGCTCGTACCCACATTTTGTCGAGTTAAATGATTTTATCTGGTTATAACCTCTATGCATATTATATAATAGATTAAGTATTTTTATATTCTACATATTTCATATTACTATCCATGTTGCATTTGCTTTTTTATTCTTCGTCTATGTGATTGAGGCGCACAATCCTCCGCCCTAATCGCCAGCAAACGTACTGCCACCCAAAAGATTACTGATTAAAAAATGCTCCTCAAAATTTGCCTTTGAAGACTAGTTTGTCGAAGCATGTAAAAACTCACTATCAATTCTATCCCTCCATTTTTCAAATAATTTCGCATGAAAACCAACACGATTTCGCATGAATGAGCATTTTTATGTGGTTTTGGCGTTCTTTCGCGTCGCCTGTCAGTGTTTCCATGGAAGCGTGGGAGTCAAGCCAGTGGTCCCCCGTTTCCTTTGCAGCTGTTTCCCATTATGTACAAGAAATCTCTATAAACGGGCTAGTGTTCATTTCGTAAAAATTCTCTTAGTGTTCAAGCATTTTCTTGACCTTGCAATTCCAAAAATTATATTTCAATCCAAAAAATGGCTATAACTCAAATATATTTGAGATTCATTCAAAAAGACCAAGGATTTTTGACTTTGAATTTTTGATCGCTTTTTACTTTTCCCTTTTCAAAATCTTCGCCTTTTTATTATTCGGTTCTGCCTTTTCTAATTCTGAAAAAATCCAGGAGTTTTTATGTATAATCCTTACAATATTCCTCCACGAGTTCAGGGCTTCTAACTCTTGATTCTCAATATATAGCTCTTGATGTCTTTTTCTGTCTAGGTTTCGCTTCTGCCATGCTTTTATTCTAATTGGATGGTTGCCAATTTGCTAGGATAATTGAGTCAGTCATGAATTTCGAAAGAGCAACCGGAAAATGGGAATTTCCGGTGTTTATCATAGTCATTTCGTCCTTTTTTGGATTAACGAAGTAAAAATTGATCCGTTCACTCTCTTGGTCACAAGTTTATATTCACTTACCAAACTTTCATTTTTCGCTTATTTTCTTTTCAATTTTATCCCATTTATTTGATTATTCATTCATTCGTTTTACGTTCACATTGTTTCAACAGTCCATTCATGCAATCGCTCATTCTTTCGTTCACTCATCGTTCATTCATTCATCTTTTCATTCGTCCATCCAATCATTCGCTCCTTCCTTTCATTCATTCATCATTGAATAGCCCTATGGTTTGTTTGGCCACTGCTTGCTCTTTTCATTTTTCTTTCCTTTTTCCCTTTTAAACTTCAGTCCCATCCCTTTACAAGCCAGCTCAACTCCTTTTCACTCATCTCAGCTCTTTTTTTTTCACCTCATCAAAACCAAATTGTTCTAAGATAAGCCGCCTGTATGCTCAGCTGTCGAGCCAGACGGCTTCAGCAACCCCTCTGATGCTTATCTCAGTGATCTATATCTAACATGGGGTTGTCCTAGGGGAAAACTCGGCCCATCGGGTCAGTGGTGGCAGCAGCGGGTAAAAGTGCAAAGATATTATCGAACCAGTTAATGCGGCCGGCAATGAAACCATATGCGTGCCCCACCGCCCGCTCTGAAGAGCCCTCTTACACGACTTTTTGCCCCGGACACATACGCGCAGATGCGGTGAATGGATTTTTGATGGACCAGGTCTAGACGTTTGAAGAAAAATGTTCATAGCAGAAACATATGTCCTGGCTTTCGATTCCATAATTATGCATTAACTCGCATAAAATAAATTATAAATAAACAGCTTTATATAATAATGAGATTTTCCAACCCTTGATTTCGACTTCTGTTGAATTTTGGCATCCCTCACACTCATTTTAATCGAGAATGCTGATAAGTATCTACGCTTCTTCTCAAGTTCCAAAACAGCACACAAAATCCACTCATTAACAACCATTTTACTTGACGCTTTCCGCTCTGCCATGCGAAAATCATAACCAGCAAAACATGATCATAATAATCATGTCTAAATGACTCAAGACCAATGGATCATCAATGGCATAGACAGATCCTCCCGTCAAATGCTCGATAACATACCGAATGCTTGTCCATAACTTGCTTTGTTTCAAAAAATGAGAATATATGGTTGAAGGTGTTGTTCAGGCAAATTACTGTAGCTAAATTTTCATGTGAAGTACCATTTGGGAGGCCTCAACCAAGCCATTTTGAAGTGGAAGCTCTTATAAATGTTCCTGGCTGAGAAATCTAACTCTAAACTCTAGCCCACACCGTACTTCTTACGTACTCAAGGAAGCTACCTGGTTCGCTCGGGAAGATTACTGAATGATGGATTAGTAGCTACTGAAGTCCGGTATCAGGATTTGTTTGGGTTTTGGGAAAGATGGCGGATGAGATCAAATATAGCGTTGTTGAAGCTAACAAATGGGAAGGTCGAGAAAAAAGCAGCACGATTGAATGACTTGAAGCAATTCACACTATGTTTACATATGTACAGGACGAATAAACTCAAAATGAGCACAGATTGCACACAAAAGCATAGCCCTAACTTCTCTGATTCTTTTTTTTTGTATTTTTGAAAGAATATTTTTCTTAGTCTTTTTCTTCAGTCTCTAAACTTTCGAACATGCCGCACCATAGCAAGAATAATATTGACGAAATCTTATTTTTTGCTCCTTAATCGCTTCCTATATTGTTTCTGAGCGAGTTTTTTAGTCACTTCTTCTTGCGTTCCATTGAATAAAGCAATAATTGCATTTTTCATACTGAACACAGTACATTTCCAACGTTGAACTTTTTCTCAATCGATATTTTCGCAGCTTTTTCTCACACACTTTTTCCCAGCTTAATTGAAACATCACGCACCGATTGCAATTTTCCCGCACCCATCTGGGAATCGCCTCCCAGCCAGTTAATTCCGCCGCCAACGACAAACGTTGTGTGCCTTCATCTCGTATCCTTCGGGCTTTATGTGCCATCGTTTCCTCATAAATTGATTCGATTGCTAGGGTCAGAGGGATTTAAAATAATTCTTTTTGCAGATGGAGAGTCCAACAACAACGGCTCGATCGCCTGAGGACGAGATCATCTTCGAAAAATCGGCAAAAGTCAAACAATGGGTAAAAAATCGAATGAAAGAGGTAAGTAGCTCAACTTTGCGCTTTCTTTGCATTTTTTCTGGAAACTGTACTTTCGGCTAGGTGTGCAGTAGTGCTTTTTTTCGTTCTCTCCTCCCCCCCCCCCCTCCCTCCCCGGATTACGGACCATAATTTGCAATGTTCTGGATTTCCATAAATTTACGCGCAAAACTTTGCAAACCGCTGTGCCGTACACTCACACCAAAGCAGTTATTTTATTTCCATAGCGAAAAATATTCTTTGGAAAATTTTCTGCAAAGCTACCTTTGTCTGGCTTTGGCTAACGAATACGAAATGCTGAGAAAATTGACGTAATTGATTTCCCCTCTGTGCTCTCGCCAGCGAATTTTTCTTTTTCTAGCGAAATTGCGCCTCCAGGGCTGGGACGCAGTCTCTATACTACTAGACTAATTCAGTTTCTGCAGAACTTTCCGTGGCAAATCAGGCTGACGACTTTTCTGTTTACAAAATGATTGATAGACATCTAGTCATTTGAGTTTCTGTTTGATAAGTGCCAAGAACCGTTCCAATTAATCGGTTTTTCTCCCGATAGCGATGTTTGCACTGTTTCACTTTCTGTCATCAAAAACTCTTATTCTAAGCAAAGTAAATTTGTTACGGTTTATTTTCCGTTCATTTTTTGCTGGATAAGTTGGGAGTCAAGCAATGCGGGGTAGATTCCGACCAATAGGTATGTATTTTAGATGTATTATTGTACTCTTTATAAACGTTTATTCTTTTTCCATTGAGTCATCTATAACTTTAGAGTCATATCAAAATCTCTGCTACTCCTTCGTTTTCAGTTTTTGTTTTGAAGAATTACTCAACTTGAATTTCACAAAAGGGAAAGGTACATCTGCTTTCTGAAGATATGTAGTCAACTTTCCAAGTAATTTCGAGAATTAAAAAAATGAGGATGATTACTAGAATCATAATTTTTTTTCAGCTTTTGAAGAGCCAAGTTTTTAGAATTTCGTTACCCGGTATAGCTAGGCAACTCACCTTTTGAAATCACTTTGGACAGGAAAAAAGTCAGGGTGATTTCTATGACCCGTCTTTTACAACTGTTCGTCTAAAAATATGATCATAAATATTTGTGGTTGAGAATAAGGACGGAAAATATTTGCCAGATTCATGTTTAGATATTTTGAACGACTTTAGTCAACATGCACAATTTTCTCTACAAGGAAACAATTATTCGAATGTATTGACATTTGAATTGGGCTGTAACCAAGGTTGTAGCAATTTATAGTACTTTTCCTAGAAATTGCTACAAAGTTATTTTTGTTGTAAGTAGCTGTAGGCCCATTTTTTATATTTTATGACTTTGTAAAATTTGCGAGTTCAACATCTTCGCAGCGCTGCTACAAAAGCGGTAAGTCCCTTTTGTTAACAAATTTGAGTTCCAAACAAATCTATAGACAAAGCGAAACCATTGATTTCCAAAAAAAAATTTAGAATATTGAAAGATCGATTTATTAGGTTGAAACATAAGCCCTACACCGAAAATTTTGAAAATTCCATTCAGAACTGCATAGGCAACCATTCCGATCTGCAAAGTGTTATACAGGAAATGTTTTACTGAGCATAGTACAAATTCTTCTGAGCAAAGTCAAATGAAAATAAGAATCTGAAAAAACTTTTCGTAGAGAAAATCAACTAGCATGAATTCATCTCAGTAGAAAAGAGTAGATCATAAAACATGATTAAGTGGAACTAGAAGTTGCAAATCTTCCAGCATTTTGAGGATCAGACCTTAAAATTCTGAAAAAATTAAGTTTTGGAAATTTATATTTATCAGCTTTTCTAGCGGATGCTCAATAATTTTTTTGTAAGCCCCGCGGCAATTTCATGACTTCCTCTCTTTGTCTTATATCTTACAAAAATATCCTTTGAAATTTCAGGAACTTACGGATCTTACGGATTTCCCAAAAATTTTGGTGCAAAATTTACTAATTCAATAACAAATACTATGATGATATCAGCTAATATCAGACCGATAGAGTTCGAGGAGTTGGATGCGCTCTAAGCGATATTTATGAATTTTGCAAGGTTCACCATGGAGTAGTACTTTAGTATTAGCTGTAATATGGAATACGAATGCCCACCAGCCTGTTTTGCTCCCATTCCTATCTTCATTGTTAAATTTTTTTCAATAAAAGCTGCAGGATCAGCTAAAGCTTAGCACATTGCGATCAATGTAAAATCGCTTGCATATGTTGTAACTATAGCCTTACATACCATGTTATTCGACTTTTCTTTTAACGAGCTAGTTACGCCATGTGTTTCTGCTTTTTACATCTCTACGATGGGAAAGCATGCACTGCGCGATAATGTCGTACAACTTTTATGTCATCACTTGAAAGGCTTCGTAACTCTTGTCCTGCGAAGTTTCGACTTTTGCTGTCGTTCCTGATTATCCTATGTCTTTATAGTTTCCAAAAAGACCAAAATGTAGCTTATTTGTCCCTTCCTTGGTCATCTGAAACTCTTAATGGACGTGAGGCAGATGGCTAATAACCAATCGCCGTCGATTCGGTGGAGTCTGGATCCGACTTTCTTGTCTGATAAATTCTCCACTTGCGAATATGCTTCCAAAGAGCTGCTTCTGTACATATTCAAATACTAGAAAACAGATTTTGGACTCACACCGATAGGAATTCGCATTGGAACAAATTTAAAATTTCAAAATTTGCTGAGCTACTGTTAGTCGTTACTGGGTGGGGCAAGGTTACTTACTCTTTGGTTCAACTACCTTGGCTGCTGAAAGGCGGACTTTGTGACCTAATTAGGGCTAGTAATGAACAACGAGCAAGCGCGCGGGAGAGACGCAGACTGCGTAGCGGGCGCGAGCGGCCTTAATAGGTCACAAAGCCCCATCTTCCAACCGCCGAGCCTGTTGACTCAAGTGTTAATTCTTTTAGCATTGTAACTCTTGATATAATTATTTGAGAGAACGGTGAACTTCAACAGCATAACAATGCAAAGTCCAAATATTCTCATTGTTTCCATAGCATTACAGAAGCTTCGCCAAAGCTCTGCAAAAGGCTCAGTTGAATGTTTGTCGTCTTTTCTTTCTCAGTGCTTACCCTCCAGATTATTCGACGAGAACTGTTTCTTATAAACTCAACTATGTGTTTAGAATGGGACATAGCGCTTACTTATCGGAGAGTTAATATTTGCTAAAACCTTTGAGCTCAGTAATCATGTGATGATATATTGCTTTGCAATCTGAAATATATCTATACTTCTGAACATTGTTGAGATCGCAAATTTGCCAGAAATTTACTGCATTCGCAGATCTATGAAGTTCAATGAAAATATCGCACTGCGATGTTTCGTCGTTATAAACAGGGTTGAGCAAGAGGTCAGGCACAAGTCCCTCAAAAACGACCCCCCCCCCCTGTAGAAGCCCCTAAACGACCCTCCGCTTCACCTCCAAGTTCTCAGGGTATTATACTTTGGAGAGGACCAGCCTTCACTACAGGTTTCCATTTTTTGAAAGTCTGTAGGCCCGACTTTCTGTGATTGCATAACCACACGTAACTTGACGGCAAGTTTTGGATCAGGGTAGTCCTCTTTTCAGAGCTATAATTTTCACAGGAGTGGAGTGCTTGGCTTCAAATTCTCAATGTAGCAAGAAGAGGCTTTGCGTTCAATACTCGTATCAAAAAAGGGGCGATATTTGAAATTTGGAGGCAAGCTAAGAGGGTCAGGCGCAACCCCTCAAAAGCTCAGGCGGCCTGACCTTTTGAGGGGTTGCGCCTGACCCCATTAACTTTATTTCCGAAAATGCTTTTCCACCCAAGTTTTATGCGATTCGCTAGCTCAACCCTCGAAGATTCCACAATGAGTGTTTGAGCTTGATTCGAGTTGTTTCGGCCTTGTGCTAATCCGAGGATTTGAAGCACCCAACGTGAAAAAAGCGCCGGTTAGAATTTTGGCAGCACTTTTTACTTCACTGTTTGAAAGCGATATGAAGCCTAATTTGTAGCGTAGACTTGTAGAGAACATTACTTTGTTATGAGTATACAAAAACTGACTTTTCTCACTTCTGAAACCAAGCTGATCACGTTTGAAAATCACGTTTTAGACGTTGCGAAACACTAGAAACTGCAGTAGGTAATGGTTTATAGAGCGCATAGAGGTAATTTGACATGCTGATTATGGAAATGATACCCATTTCACACAGCAAACTCCCTTGTCGACCCCATATGTCAAGGTAAAAGAGATGAAGAATTGAATTTTGGCTGAAACTTCCATTGTGGAAACAATCAGTATGCTGTTTATGACCGTCAATCCTTCATGTGATCGCGATATCCACCGGACTAGCGCATTTCTTCTTCACCTTCGCAGTATCTCCTCAACTTAACAAATTCGATTCTTAATTACGACCCCCCCCTCAGTCTTACCCTCAATACGATCCTCCAGGTCGGGCGCGCCTGGCCCCACGCTCAACCCTATAACTTATAAACATAAACAAAATCCAAGATTTTAAATATTCCAATTCCTCAAACTGTCATCAATGCGAAGATTCACTCAATAATCTCTGGAGATCACTTCATGGTAATATTATTGCGACGGTTTTGTAAACGTTAAATGTAGAAAAATTTGCTGCTTTTTCTATTGTGGGCTCATCAATGCTTTCAACCAACCTATTCTTGATTTGAACACTCGGACTATTTCTGCAGTAAAATATTGATAAAGAAGATGCTTAGACATTTATCCGGTTTTGGACAAGACAAATAATGATTTGACCGAAATGAAACGAGTTTCTAAACGAGGACAGTCCACCTCTTGTTAGTCTAATCTCATCACACTTATTCAACAGTCTCACTTGAGACTTCTTATTTTGCCACATGCATCATAGGTTCTAGATTTTATTCTTTTTTCTTCTTTCTTCATCGTTGAGGGAAAATTGCAAGAATTTCCGCGTGTTTATAGTTTGTTTGAATCTTTTTCTTTTCTGGAAGCATGAAATTTTCGGAAGTTCAGGCACGTAG